ATATCTTGTACGAATATGAGCACGAGCACACGGTACGAAGTACAAATTTGAGTACGAACACGGAGTACCGAGTACGGCACTACACGCCATTAACCTCGTCCCTCAATGCACGCAATTTTCAGTGAAAAATGCTTTTATAAGTCAAGGGCCCAGAGTATCTCGCGGCACGTACGAAAACCTTTCACGCGAATGTCTTCGTCCATGTACGCAAAGGTGTTGTGGACCTCCCCTTCTGCGCGATGCTTGTAGAACGCCACAGCGTCGTACGACATCATGGCGATCTCCTCGAGTATCTGGAACTGCTGTTCGGAGAGGTGGCAGTCGTCCACGTCGTTGCATGCCCATGCCGCCGCGATGGTCCACCGAGCACCCCCATCACAGGCCCGCATGCGGAACCAGTGTGCGGGCGACTGTACGAGAGCGTTGACATAACGCGAGAACAGCTTCCCGTCACGTCGGTTGCTACTCTTCTCGGCCCCAACGAAGATCGTCGCTCGGTATTCGCGCCCCATATCTTCGTGGTACGACGTCCCCTGAAAGAGGACCGCAAGTAGGCCTGAGAGGGAGTAGCCCAAAACGTTGTCGCCCGCCATCAGGTCAACAATGTCTCCCTTGAACTCGGCAATGGTGGCGATTGCGACCAGGCGTGCGAAGGCAAGATACCGCTCCCAGTTGGTGTAATGCGGGATCACCGTCCGCGTATATTCCCAAGCGCAGGCGAGGACTTCGGCCTTCACCTTGTCCGGCAGGTCGACGTCCTTGATATCATCGGCCAACTCTGCTGGGTAGTACCACGTGTCCGAGGGCGCCGCCGTCTCCGTTTTACTGACCATTGTGTAAATTAGGAGAGCTGGAAAATTCTCGAGTTACACGCCGACAGGAACTACGCAGAATGCTCACCTGAAAAACAATTCCGGAACGAGATGAATGTTGGAATGCCCCTTTCTTCAACGTCACGCAGGAAATATAGGAGAAGACACTGGCAGGTCATTCTGGCAGCAGTGCTGATTAAATACAGGAGGATGAGTAGTATAGGAGGCGTTGAGAGGAGGTGTTAGTAAGAGGATCGGATCCGGAAATGAAACTGTCCGAATATTACGTGCTTGCTTAACTCTGCTGTATTATTGTTAAATGTATCTAAGACCGTGAATCTGCCGTGCAGGTACTCAAATGTGGCGTACTCATTACAACGGACGCGTACTGGCCAAGCAGCGGTATGTAGTGTCGTAACATGCTCATTTACCGCCGGCGCGGCTCACAACTCATGACTGTACACTCTGGACGTCCAGTCTAGATGTAAACTGTGGTTCATACTCGGCGTTTATCTCTTGACCTGCCAAACTCAACTAAGTCGCCGAGAGTTTGCCGAGCGTCGGATCAATTCTGCCGCAATCCCGAACCGACTCACTCCCACTCGTTGTCGGTCAACGCTTCGTAGCAAATAACCAACCAATAGAACCGGAGAAAGTAATGACCTTTGATCCGGATTTTACCATATCAGACATGGAGTTCGGGTTCCGAATTTTTGCCTTTGACGATTCACTCAATGAGGTCCTGGCACGGAGAGTTAAGATAACCGGCGATAATCCGAGCTTGGTGACTGTATTTCTACATGCACACATACAACGGGCTGGTGAATTGAATCCGAGTGCTGAGTTAACAATCAGGACAGAATCTCGAGATTCAGTACAGAGTGAGATCTTGTCAATAAATTTTGATAGACAAGACATACCTTTAACATTTTCCTCTGCCCTACTGGGTGGCCTCCTCCTTATCCTGCAAAATACTCAACAAAATGTGCCCCTCCTTGTTTGCTCCTCATCGGAATTCTTGTTGCGAGCGCTTGTGAAAGAGAGGAAAAAATCTGAGAACTTTGTGGACCCAATGTTCCACCTTCTGAAATCCGTATTTGCTTGGTTGAACGAACATGTAGCTCGAATTCAATTCAAGAAAGTCTCTCATAACCATGCCAAAGGTCTATCTGATGCACTCAGTCGTGCAGCTGAGATTGATACAGAAATTGACCTAATGTTCGAGTCCCCGGAATACTTTTATCCCGTGGCTCACAGAGATATTTTATAAGGAAACTGAAACCGAGAGCTCAAAGGAGGTCTACTTTTATAAATCTGGACCGCATTCGATGCTCAGTTGAGGAAATTACAAACTACACTCCATCGGATGAGACTATCTGGAAATCTATCCGATCAGTAACACTCCAACGCTTGACGCGAGAGTTCCTGTGGAAGTGCATTCATAATACTTTCAGGGTCGGTGATTTCTGGACCCATATTGATACTTTAGAAGTACGCGGACAGTGCCATGTCTGTGGCGTCCCGGAAACCTTAGAACATGTTGCTCTGGAGTGCAACAGCCAAGGCCAACAATTAATTTGGAGCTTAACACTACAACTTTGGTCGAAAAAATATTCACAATCTGAATGGCCTACATTGAACTGGGGCCTGGTTTTGGGTTGCAACCTTGTAAAATTTAAATCCAGCAAAGGTGCAAACATCCCGGAAAAGGGGAGATTATTTGCTATCCTAGTCTCAGTTGCATGGCATCTTATTTGGAACCTTCGAATAAACCGTGTTATTGAAAATGCTGATTTACTACTTACTACAACGGAAATTCACAACCGGTGGTTGAAAGCGGTCAATGTAGCTTTACGACGTGACCGACTCTTGACCGATAAGATTAGATTTGGACCATTGGCGTTGAAAAAGCAATTGGTCTTGAACACATGGAGTGGCTTACTCATGGATGAGGACTCACTGCCAGATGACTGGACATATGAGGGGGTTTTAGTGGGTATGCGGCCCATGAATGATAGAAATGGGATTGGATAAATTTTACGGGCCGGAGTCACCCCACACTGGTTGAACATTGTGCGTAACGACATTTCCTCCTGGACAATTTCCCTAGCAATGACTGGTCCAACAACCGGCAACACTAGCGGATGATCTTGGAATGCTTCTGCAGACTGAGTCTCATTATCCCAAACGTTCCAAAAAAAAAAAAAAAAAAAGGAAGCGAGAAGGCTCAAGTCGAAGTGCATTAGTGGTGGTAGTCAAGCGCGGTGCCAGTAGGAAAGTATTGGTGAGAACCCAGATGGCAGTAGGAACGCATAATTCCGCGTAAAGAGGAACGGAGCCGGCGAAATTCCGGGTGGATTCCCAGCACGGCATGTCAAGCAAGTCCACTTTATTTTATGCTGGCTGCTTGGTGAGCATAGTATGCGGTCAGCATGTATCCACGATATCGCATTGTGGAACAACTTTCTTTTCTGACGTGTTGCCTGGTGCGGTTGGTTGCGGCGATGTTCCATTGAAGTCTCACTAACGTTGTGCAAATCAAATTCCCTTCTTTGCAACATCGAACATACCACAGAGAACCTTGACCGAATGCGAAGCATAGCCTTGTTTGCCGGCTCGAGGGCCGCAAGAGTAGGACGGCCCGGCCTTGGGCGAGGACAGGAGGAAGCCTTCGAGTGTCCAACTGGTGATAGATATCCTTCCGTTTGGCGGCTCTGACGAGCAAGGAGCAAATTGTATCAGCCACAGACCCCTCGTACCACAGGAACCTGAAATACCAGGCACCGAGCCGCAGGTCGTGCACCACTTCTTTTACGTCCGCGATTGGGCTCCTAAAACGGGGCCTTGCTTCGCATTTTCTACTTCAACCAGAGGCGGTTCTTTTTGTTTCGTTCCGACAACGTGTACAGTACTGAAGCTCTCCGTCTCTCTGCAGGGTTTTATCTTTGCCATGATTACCTTCCCAGACGTGCATATTCAGAAAGCTCAAGAGGAGCTGGTGAGAATTTTTGAACTCGTGTACCGACTTTTCGAAGTGAAACCAATTATTTCACGTGTAATGTACCCTATAAATCTTGTTTTCGACGCCGCCGAGCTCGCTCGAGTGCTGTTGGCAAACAGGCGGTCGAGTTTGTCCACGCGGGACATGCTTTTCCTTCGCTCAATCTCACTTCTCATTGGAATCCGGTCTTGCAATAAAGATTATGTTCAATTGGATAGTTTAAATCTGAGGTGGGACTCCGAGCTGTTCTCACCCTGAATAGCCCTTTATCCGGTGCACAGGCTCATAGAGCTTTTTCTATTCAAACTCGTGGTCGCCGTAATTCTCCTTGAATAGTAATACCTCCATATTGGGACCTGCAATGAGTCGGGGACTTCCGTCGGATGGAAACGACGTCCAAAAACTCCAGGAGGGGTTCAATGGTCTTCGGATGCTTGAAGTCAAGTGTAATACACTCAGGCCGGGGGGAATAGACTGAATGCCGTGGATTATATACCCAGGTACTGGCTGAAAGCAGGTTTACATTACATCTCTATCAATTACAGGTTTTGAAATGTCGATAATATCTCACCTGCCATTACCGAATAACCCCTCTAATTAGAAGGGACATGTCCCCCTTATGTCCCCTCTCGTTAGAAGGAAAATCAGCGATTTCTTGACCGGCGGAGAACCGTGGACGTCCGGGCGGTGGACAGTGGACCCAGGGTGGACCCGGGGGTGTCCCCGGTCTATCCTGGCCATGGATACCGGTGTGGACAGGGTGGACAAGGTGACATGTGGGTGGGGGTGGGGGTCGACCATGTATACCGTGGTGGACGCAGGTGGACAGCGGGAGGAACCGTGGTGGACAGCGTGGACAATCGGACTAGGAGGATAAAAGGGGGTTCCAACCGGGCAACCACGGTGGACACCGGTGGACACCGGTTGGGATGTGTGACCCCGAGTACCACAGTGGACACGGGTGGACAGGGAGGTAAGCCCAACCGTGCTTATGATAGTGGACACCGGTGGACACAAAAAAACACAGGGCAACCGCCTGCACCGCAGTGGACATAGGTGGACTGATATAGCTGGTCGTGATGTCAGTAATATATATTCGGCAAAAAAAAAGCAAACGGTATATAGTATCAAGGATCAATATAAGAAAACTTGACAAAAAAATATTGATAATTGGCCAACATAGCAAGAGCACACACCGCGAATTGAACACGGGACACACAGAGACCAAGAATTGCCTTTGATTTATTCCGTGCATGTTACCACTACACCATATGTGCGGACACTCAGTTGGGGCCCCCAGGACCAATACCTTATGCACTAGAATAATTTATGATCTAATTGCAGGACAAAAGTACATTATATCACAATTACAAGTCATAATGTCCACCCTAACCCCCAAAAACCGCTATGTCCACATCAGAACGTCACCAGTACCTTCCTGTCCACCCAAACCTCCCAAAACCTCTCTGTCCCCGTCAGAACCGCGAAGACCTCTATGTCCACATGTGAACCTCAAGTGTCCACTCGAAAACCTCGAAAACCGCTGTGTCCCCCCCACATCCGCGGTCACTCGCCGCTAGCCTAGGAGTCAATCCCAGTCAGGAGAACCCTCTCCATGCACTCTGCGAGCTCCTCTCCCTCCGCTCTCTCCCCCACATCGTCGTCATTCCCCTCCTCGTTGATTCTCAGCCGTGACATCTCTTCTACCAGCCCTCTGGACACCGCCTCCTCCCGAATCCGCTGAGTTTCCACTACACCCTCCATAGGCGCTGCAGGTACCTCCACAGCGGCGTGTAGGCGACGGCCGGGCACAAGGCTCCCTGTGAAACGAGAACCGGCCTTTTCAGCCAGTTTTTTGAATCGCTCCAAATGCATTTCATCGAACCTCCCCCGCTTCCATTGGAATTCCCGGACAAAGTAGGCAAGGGTGGGGTCTGTGGAGTCAAGCTCGGTCGCAATGCGGATGAGGAAGTCGCGCTCATCCCGGATGTAGGTGATGACACGGGTGATCTCGACGTTGCAGCGGTTGATCTCCTCCCCAGCCCGCTCGATTTTGAAGTAGGAGTCAAGGAGAAGGCGGGCGGCTGGCGTAGCCCAGGCCCGAATGGTGGTGACCTCCCCCTCGTTACGGAGAAGATCGAAGTCAGCTAAAAATGCGTACTCCACGACCTGGTCCCACTTGAGGGATCGACCTGGAGGCTGCAGAGCAGCTGCGGCCGCATTATAGCTCTTCAGCGCCGTCCGAATGGCTTGGGAGCGGGCCTGGAGGGCCTTTGCAATGTGCCGCCGAAGCTTGTACCCTACAAGTAGTAGCAGGGTTAGTTTCCATCAACGAGACGGGAGCGAAAACTTACCAGTCTGGGAGAGATTCATTTTAGTGAGCTCGAACATCCGCTGAATGACGAGGCGCTCCAGCCTGTCAATCGCCAGGCGGTAGCGTTGTGTGCTGACCAGCATGGCTGCCGCATCCCATTCCGGACTTGACGGAAGCCAGCGGACCTCTATCTCCAGCTTGGTCTCCAACTCCTGCACAGCCTCCAAGGCCTTGTCGACATTCTCGGCGGCGTGTCGACGCACAACCTTGGATGCAGTCGACTCTGCCGAGGTAACTTCTTTCAGCCGACATCTGGTGGCCGGTGGACACCGAGGTTTGGGAAGGAGAGGGTGGACAGGGACCCGGGGGTTTGGAAGGTAAAAGTGGACACGGTGGACACGGTGGATAAGTATGCGGGGTTTGGAAGGAAAAGGTGGACAGGTGGACAGAGGTTCGGCAGGTCAGGTCAGTTTTTGGCAAGAATCAATCTGTAAGACTTACCTTCGGGCCTCCAGGTTCACCAACTTCTGGTAGTAATCCATCTTATCGGTCTCCTCAGCTGGCTCCGACTTCAGGGACTTGAGCATATCTAATTCTGCTTTTAAGCGGCGGGGGAACTCGCTGACGTCCGGGATTCCCTCCTGGGCCATTGCTTCGTAGAGGGCAGGCTTTGTGTCGATGATATCGAGGGCCTGCCAATAATTATTGACGAGGAATGAACCTTGAGTAGGCATTAGTGAAATGCCGGAGAGCAGAGAATTGAAGAACTCACTCAGGTTAGCATAAACCTCGAATGTGTCGTGGTGGGCAGTGTAGGTCCGGATCGCTTGCTTTCGGTGGAAAACGGTGGCATACCGTGTGGATCGAGCTAGTGCGTTGGCGCCCGAGAACCACCGCTCGCAACCTTCCATGTCTTCCAGTCCCATACCATGGACATAGTTGGCAAGGTAGTGCAATTGGCACAGGCGATTGTGTGCATGGCCGTGGAAAGCGCCGATGAGCCACTTGAGGTCGTACTTGAGAGCCTTCGGGCCCAAGGGGCTATTCTTGACGGTTGTCTCGAACCCACAATTAATATCGTAGGCGTTGCCGATCTTCGGTCCATACGCCTCCAGCAACGCGTCTACAATCGCCAGAGGATACTCAGCTCTGGCGGACATCATTAGCGAAAGGCAGAGACTATAAAAGATGAGGTACTTACAGCTCACCGCTGCGGACCATGTCAGCAAGTACGAGCATGAACCCGTGTCTGCACAAGGAGATAAAAACCCCCGTTTCATCGAAGATACCCCACATCTTGGAGGTGATGGTTTCGGAGAGGTTCTTCCACCTCTCTTCGCAGAGGTTCTTCTCCACCGGGTCGTCGCTAGTCTAGGAAGCAAGGTTAACAGAAAAGCAATGACAGACGGCGGTGCACTCACTGGAATGTTGACTTCGTTGTTTAAGGTCTCCTTCACCCGAGCCGCGATCGCCTCTTTCGACCAGAACCGCACGTCTTCCCGGCGGAGAAAATAATCGCCACCAGCTGCCTCCGCACGGGGATCCACCCGCTCCTTTGACTTGCTCGGGATCGCGTTCCCGTCGTCGTCATACTCAGTGCCGTCCTTCCGTAGGACCCGCCTCAGAGAGTTTCCCCCGTCCATACAAGTCATGATAGAGAAGACCAGTTCCTTCTCTCCCTCCAACTTGTATGTGCATGCTGGGCAGGCATTCTTTAGTCGCCAATCGGGTGCATCACGGCCCAGCGCCTTTTTGACCCTCTTCTCCACCCGGGCAAGGATGTCGAGGTACACATCGAAACAGATGGAGAACTGTTGTGAAAGGTAAGGCTTGTAAACAGTGCCTTGGATGTCGGCGAGTGTCTTGATCCAGGCTTGGATGGTAAGGTTTGGAGCCCGGAGATGTGCCACTCGGAAAAGCTCGAGGCATCGGATGGAGATCGCCACAGTTGGTGCAAAAGGAGAGCAAGGCATTAGGCCCTGGCGAACCAGACCTGACGCAATCCATTTGTCTGTTTTTAACATAGGCGCAGCTACTGAAATACTATCTATTTCGGCGGTCAGTTAAGGTCAGAGAGGAAAAGAGCGTGCAATAGACACACCAAAGAGATCGACGATGCGAATCCCAAAGTGAGAGTCAACTTCGCCATCCGTCAATCCGTCCCAGGACTTATCCAGCCCACCATTGGTGGAAGCCCACTTCATGTACGCGTCGGTGATATCCTCCATCTGGCCTTTGAAGCCAGTAACCAGCTTCTCCAGGAAGTCCCGTCGGTCGCGGGGGTCTTTCGCGCGTCTACACAGTTACAAGATTTAGGTGTGCGCGCTGGGTGATCCAGAGAACTCACTTTTTCTTATTGGAAATCGTCTCTCTTATACGCCCCTCGAGCATTTCGTGGAACTCCCCTCCAGCGTGGCTTGTCTCAAATTCGACCCGGCCCTGCAAAACAGCCTCTGCATGGGCCCTATCATCGTCGTCGTCCTCCCAGTCATGGTCCGAGGAACTGAAGTCACTCATAGACTCTTCTGGGTCCGGGATGTCGCGAAGTCGGTCGTAAACAAGCTTTTGTTCAGCGCTGAGCCTGCTGTACCGCTCGTTGACATAGTGGTTGGCAGCAGATCGTCGCTGCGTTGCAAGTGTAGGTGTAATTTCCTTGTGGGAAGTCCGGTGACCGTCTTTGATGGAGATACGAATTTTACTGGGTTTGACCCTCAGCGAAACAACGCCGGACTTGCGTGTTGCAGGCATTGGTTGTGGGTGAGGAGGTGTCAACAACGAGTCACAGACACGAAGTGTCACATCAAGTGACTAACTATGTCCACCAGGTTGCCGCGGTTTTAGGGGACACTGTCCCCAGGTTTAGCACGGTTGGAGGGACATACTGTCCCCGAGGTTGCAGCGGTCGTCAATGCGTCTTGTCAACGTAAGTGCCAATATGTCCACCGGTTGAGGACAGTTTGGTGGACAAAGTGTCCCCAGTTTAGCATGTCCACCGGTTAAGTACAGGTCAGTGGACACAGTGTCCCCAAGGTCAGCACGGTTCGAGGGACAAATAATGGAGGTGCGTGGATCATGTGACACTGGTCAACCAACTTTTGACCACCACCGTCTTTGTGGGCTAAGCAGGTTCACCGCCCCAAGGTACGTACTTGACGCGTTTTTTCAACCATATCCCTCTCCCCCGATAGCACCTCTGAGATCCATGCCTGGAACTCGTGGTAGCCACTCCCCATCCTTTCTCCTATCAACGCCACTCGTTACATGACATGGCTAACTCATCTGTAGGCAATATGTGGGACTTTCCTGATGCCCTCGACTTTCGCTCGGTAAGATAGAGTCTTCCCAAAGAAAGGCACAAATCTTACCATATTGAAGACACGTTCTGGTCGCGCATTTTCCCCATGGACCGGGACGACGATCGAAAGCCCCGTGTTTGAAATCGCCACAGCAGTTATCGCGGCTCTCGATAGCCAGGCTGATGAAGATCTTGCTCAGCCTGACAGCGGCCATCCTGGGTCCCTCAACGACTTGGACGGGAGCTTCACCTCCCCACTGGAATCCGACTCCACCCAAGATCCTATCCAGGTCCCTCTCAGTGGCAGTAGCACATCGAAAAGATGCCCGTCCCGTGTCACCCGCGACAAGGAGTGGTCTAAGATACGTCGAGCAAAGCAGAGGACAGCCATGAAGACTCGTGCTCACATCGACCTCCTGCCTCCCCAGCGGCGGCCCCACCACGTCAAGAAATCGCAGGCGCCCATCAACGTTGACTAACGCGTGGCCGCCACAGGCTGGATCGGCCTTCGTGATAATGGTCAGGCTTCTGCAGAGCAGGACGCTGATTTCCGCGAGTCTGGGTGGCATCCGTCACACACACTTGAGGCCTTCTTTGGTGCCGGGCGGTTGTTCAACGGGTTCAGGCTCGTCAAGTATATAGACCAGTGAGTGTCTGTCTTGTTCCCT